TGCTATTGATCATATAGCCAACTTAAATCCTTGATCATGAAAAGCTAATTATGTGGCTGAGATTTTAGAATAACTAAGATATATATTCGAATGGTATTTTTCTTAAGGCTAATTTCAGAGATTATAAAAGTATGAATATCTCATAATATGATCATATAAAATATTTTCTAATTACATTATCTATGTAAAGAAACTAGTTAGTCACCAAAGTGGCCTAGTTTAATTTATGGAATAGATAATTAAATTAGATGAAATATCATTAAAATAAAACATTATCTAATTATATTATCTATGTAAGAAACTAGTTAGTCACCAAAGTGGCCTAGTTTAATTTATGGAATAGATAATTAAATTAGATAAAAGTATCAATTATTCAAATATAAGACGATGTCTTATTAATGTACCATAATATTATAATATTTGAATAATTGACGTTATAGATTATAAACTAGGAGGACACCCAAAGGTGGGCCATGGTTTGTAATATATGACAATAAAAGAGAAATTATATTAAAGTTAGGTTAATTAGTGTGTTTGTCCAAAGATAACCACAAATTAATCACAATACCTATAATTTCTATTAAAGATCTTTCCTCTTAGGCATCAATCAAGTATATTATATATTTAAGTATTTGCCCAAAGGTATATTTAAATATATAATTTAAAAGATTTCTGAATCCATTAATTTTATCTCAAAGCTTAATTAAATAGCATGTATTAAATTTTGCAGCGTTCAAAATTTGGTTATCCGTACAGTATTATAGTTGAAAAATTCAATTGGCTGAACTTCAGTGAATGGTCTAAGCATATTCAATTTCAGTTAGGTTTAATGAATTTGGATATTACTCTCATTATTGATGAAGTTCTCACAACCATTACTGATGAGAGCTCCGAAGTAGAGGTAACTCTACGTAGGGTATGTGAGCGATCAAATAGGTTGTGTTTGAATTTTATGAAGTTAATCAAGGCGGATAACATTAAAGCCAATAATGCAAAAGAATTCCTAAATAAAAATCAAGGATTATCTCCATTTAAAATTGCGGGAAAAGTTTATTGTGGAAAGTTTCATTAATGTACTCTTCACTATAAAAGTTCATCTGATTCCGCTCCATCCATGATTTCGTGATCCATGTGTTCCACATATAAGCTAAACTTGCAAACATGAGAATGAATGTGATAGACTCATTTATGGTTTTATTCATCATGAACTCCTTACCTGTTGAGTTTGGTCAATCCTAGGTGAACTATAACACCATTAATGATAAACGGGATTGTAAGCAAATTAAGGCTATGCTGGTGCAGGAAGAGGTGGGAATAAATGAGATGAAAGAAGAGTCGATTCATTTTATATCTCATGTGGGAGCCAATAATAGTAAGATAAAATGGGAAATAAAGGCAAATAAAAGGAGACTGACTTACTTAAAGTTTTTGTAGGTCCAATCATTAAATAAATAAGGTGTTAGTTTTGTAAAAAGCTAGGCCACCTTAGGAAAGATTGCCCGAAATAAAATCTTGATTCGAAAAGAAAGACATACATTAATTTTTTGTATGTTGTGAATCAAATTTATTAAAGATTCCCAATAATATTTGGTGGCTTGATTCTGTGCAACTACTTATGCATCTCATAATTATTTTTTTTTGGGTTAAATGTAGTGCACACAATGAATACTATACTCTCTTATGGCATTAAAGATTATGGTCACATATCTGAAGAAAAGTTTTGAGAATGGTGAATAATGAAACCATTTCTCATTGGATTTTAGTGATCAAGATGTATGTATAGAATGAATTAAAGAAAAGCAAACTAACATACATTAAAGAGATTTGTCATAAGAAGCACTAAAATCTCATAACTTATTCACACTAATTTTTTGTGGTCTATTTAACGTCCCTTTGTGGGGTGATGTAAAGTATTTAATCACCATTATAAATGATTTCTCATGATTAGTTATATTTATCTACTACATGAAAAGACTCAATCATTGGAATATCTAAAGATATACAATGATGAGATGGAGAGGTAGTTAGATAAATAAGTAAAAGTTGTGAGATCTCACTAGAGTGGTGAATATTAATGTAAGTTCAATAAAAGAGAATAATATTCTAGTCCATTTGCAAAGTTTCTTGAGATTTGAAATATTTGTGTGCAATACACTATAATTAAGACTCTTCAACATAATGGTGTTGCTGAGAGGATAAACCGTACTTAAATAATATGGTTAGAGATATGTTGAGCAATTCAACATTAACGTTTTCTATGTGGATGCATCAAAGATTGCTGCATATTGGGTAAACTGGGTTCCTAGTATAGTAGTTCCTAAAATATCTTATGAACTATGGACGGGTAGGAAACCTAGGTTGAGGCACCTTCATATTTGGGGGTGTCAAGCAGAAATAAAAGTATATAATCCACATGAAAAGAAACTTATTCCTAGGACAGTCAGTGGTTATTCATTGGCTATCCGAAATGTTCTAAAGGATATAAGTTTTACAGGACTAACCATAGTACGAGAATAGTTGATTCCAGCAATGCTCGATTCATTGAAAATGTTCAAATCAGTGGGAGTTTGAAACTGCAAAGTTTGGATGTTAAAGAAACTCGGGTTGAACAGTCCAAACCCAAGAGTCCATCAATGGTTGTTATTCTTTTAGTTACAGTACCGTCATGTAACTTAGATGAATAACGAAATGATCCAAACTCACTTGATAATGAACCGGTCACAAGCAATCAAGAAATTATAGAACAACCTATGGTTGATGAATGACAAGCCATGAAAAGTTAAAATTCTGGAAAAGTTTATCAATGCCATGAAAGAATAATTAAAATTAAAGTCAATGGATGAAAATAAAGTCTTTAGTTCAATAGATTTACCTGAAGGGTCTAAAAGAGTTAGGTGTAAATGGGTTTTTTCGAAACCAAACACGACTCTAAAGGTAATATCGAAAGATATAAAGTTAGACTTGTTTCTAAAGGTTACACTCAAAAGGAAGGCATTGACTACAAGGAAGCATTCTCTCTCGTTTCAAGAAAGATTCCTTGAGAATTGTAATGACAATGGTGGCTCTGTATGTTTTGAACTGTATCAAAATGGACATAAAGATCACCTTCTAAATGATAAACTTAGAAGGAGATCTACATGAACTAATTAAAAGTTTTTTTAGATCACAAGAAATGAAACGTTAGTGTGTAAGTTGAATAGATCGATATATGGACTAAAACAAGTCTCTCGTGAATGGTATCTTAAGTTTAATGATACCATCATTGCTTATAGATTTGTAGGGAATACCGTAGATCGGTGTATCTACATTAAGGTCAGTGGGAGTAGATTTGTTATTTAGTTTCGTATGTCGATGACATTATAGTTGATAATAATGTGGACATGTTGCACGAATTAAAGTATTATCTCTCTAAAAGTTATGAAATAAAGGATGTGGATGAAACGACCTTGCTAATTGGAATAGAAATATTCTGGAATAGATCACAAGGACTAAAAGCTTATCCCATAAAAGTTTTATTTGAGAGATAATGGATGGTTGTTCCGTAAAATTCCAATTCATAAAAGGGACACATTTAGTCTAAAATAAATGTTCGAAAGGTGAAATGGAATGAAAAGTGATGGAGAAAATTTCTTAGATATAAATGATTAGGAGTCTTAAACGAGACGAACCTGTACTAGGTCTGATAATATATTTGTTGTTGGTATGTTAAACAACTATAAAAATAATTTTAAATGATTATGCTGCAAAGAAATTTTTTAAAGTACTTACAAGGCATTAAAGAACACATGCTAACTTAAAGAAGATCCAAATTATTGGTTATTATTGGATACTCGGATTCAGACTTTTGCTCATAATGTCTAAAGGAGCAAAATTATGGAAAGGTGGAACAAAAGTCCATCATCGCGACTTCCACGGTNCATCCATATATATATAGAGTTAGGATCCAATGAGAATGGTAGATAGTGAAAGAAATAAGAATAAATATGGACCATGGATCAATCGTATATGGCTATGATGAAGTCAAACTATGGTCTTTCATTAATGGTAATCTGGTAATTATTTGATCACATGTCAAATATTATGCATTTTACTAATAATTAAAGGTAGCTTGGATATTTTAATTCAAACTCAAAACTTGTGGGACCCACCACTACCAATATTTAATATCACTATAATTATCCTACCACCTCACTTACCCCCCTCCCCCACCCTACCATCTTCCCCACGCACGCACAAACACACATTACAATACACACACGTGCACACACGCACAAGCACATAAAAACACACCACCATGACCCTCATCGGCGATCGACGGCCGCCGCCACCTCCACCAACAGCCTTCCTCCGCCTACCGCCACCAACCACCAACAGCCCCGTGTAATATTTTATATTATTATATTATTGTGGACCATATAATTAGTTGGACCTAATAGAATTAATAGTCAAACTTATTTAAGGTGAATATGTATTTAATGGATTATTAATGTTTTAATATTAAAGAGTCCAATTTGTGATGTTTGACTTGGACAGTAAGTTAGGTTAGAACATGGGGAATGTTAGTAGGATTAGGATTGTAAGTCTTTTCCTCTTATATATACTACATGCCCCTCTCTCCCATCTCATACGAAAATAAAGTTCTCAACATCAAGGGCTTTATGAAAAGACGAGAGACACGGGAGAGAGAAACAATTCATAGGCAAAGGCGAATCCATCATTGGAGAGTACGAGAAAGATAGATCCATGAGATTACGAGGAAAAGATCGCAGATCAACTATCATAGATCAAGAAAACAGGGAAGGACTATAAGCTGGATTCTTGTAAGCTTTTATGTGCAATTTAATTTATGCAAAGATCCATATTCTATGAATTGATAGAATTACATGCGTAGGGTTTATTCAATTCCACTTAATAGTTATGAATATACCCGTTAAATTCTTACACCCCGTCGATTACGTCACAGTTCGCCACCGCTGCCATCCCTCAACCAATTCTGCCACCGCCACCACAGACCCGCCGGCGGTCCACCACAAAACTCTCCATTGCCGACCACCGCCGTCTCCCACCATGTCTCCGCTGTCGTCACTGTATGTCTCAAGGTACTACACAGCATCTCGCCCGAAGGCGGTATCCCGTAGGAAATCGAGCACCGGCCACGGGTCTACCGGGTGGTTCCTCGACGAGATCCCGAGATACATCTAAGGTTAAAGAACCTCATGACCTTCAAATACAGCGGTAATCTGAATTTCGAGGGCAAATTTTCCGGCTGAGGAGCCGGCGGGCGGGGGCTCACTCTTTCGGCGGGACAGACCATAAACATTAATTGAAGGAGTTTGTGAGGTCGCCGCCGGATATGGCGTCGGACTTTGGTCGAGTGATGTGACGACGAGCATCTGCACGGTGGTCCGGCGGGGGCTGACGGCTGAATTTTAAACAGAGATGGGATTGGGAATGAATTGGGACTGGGCTAAATTTTGTGAATTAGATTATGTGCATGGACTTATATGCAATTTCCAAAAAATTTAAATATGTACACTTTGGTTCATGGGTTAGATACATAATTTATAAAGAATACTAGATGCACAATAACAACAAATAGAGTGTTCTAACATTACATAAAAATATGTAAAATAATAACAATTTTCATAGACGATTATTTCAGTTATTTTGAAAAATAAAGGTGACTTTAGAACTGGAATAATTGATTTTTCAAAAAGTAGAAAAATAATAATTGAACCGAAAATTTAAGTTTGTTTGATTTTTTATATTGTGCAATCATATAGTCATTAATGTGCAACCCATATAATGATGCAACCCATATAATCATAATGTGCACTCGCAGTACATAAAAATATATAAATCATAATAATAATATTTTTCATATAGCTCGATTATTTCAAATTTGGTCGAGATAATCGAAATATATAAATTCTAAAATTATCGAAATAACTTTATTTCAGTTGAAATTATCGAAATTAAAATAACAAAAATTTTAAAATAACCGAAATATATAAGTTGGGGCATACAAATTGTAGTTATTTCAATTTCGATCGTGAATGTGCAATACGTCTAACAATAATGTGCAACACGTATAACACTAATGTGCAGTGTTTCAGTCGCTATTGTGCGTATGTACCCAACGAACTTTTTCCCAGCCAAATTAAAACAAAACAGAAATACATGGTTTATTGGTCTAGTTAACCAAAATTGCCACAATTATTATAAATAATCTGTATTTTATATTTTAAAAAAATTTATTTAATCTTTGAATAATTTTATTAATATCTTACATTAGTTTTTATTATAAATACACAATATATAAAATACCAAAATTAACGATGTGCATTTCCATAGACAATAATGTGAATTTAGTCTAGTATTATTGTCCAATCAATTGAGCGAGTATTTTTTATGTGCATTTAAATTTTAGAATATTTTAATAATGTGTATGTTTAATTATAATTATTGTGCATATAATAATTTATTTATATACTAAAACTATATCTAGTATTTATATTTTTTATTTAATATTCTATATTATTGTTTGTTGAAATAAACGATATATATGATATAAAAATATTTTTTTTTATATTTCGGTCAAATACGTTAATTTTTTTTTAATTAAAGACGAACTTAGACAGAACAAACTACAAATTTAATATATGTGAAAAAATGCACACCGCTGTGATAATGTGCATTATCTAATGCATTAATGTGCATTTGATGTAACACTGTTATGCATTCCGTCAATCACAAACGTGCAGTGCAGTATTTTTTTTTCATGTACCTAAATATTTAAATTTATTTATTATTTATTTTATAAAATTATATTTAGTATTTTAATAGTTTTATTTAATCTTTTATATAATTTTTGGCTAAAAAAGAAATAATACATATTAAATATACAAAAAATAATACTCAATGAAAGAAATAATAATACATCACGACCATTAGATCCAATAATCTAACGGATAATAAATATACTCTATAAGGTAATATGGATATTTTACACATCCTAATTCACAAAAATAATTTATTAGTGGGCCCCACGTCATAACACCACCAACCCATCCAATTTATAGCAGTGGGCCCCACATCTAATTAACCAACATTAATCTCCACTCTATCTCTCACTCAGCCCGTCCAATTTTTTTCACACAGTCGCCGGCGAACAGAGACCGCCGGCGAGCCGCCAGCTCCGAGGGCCAAACGGTTGTTCGTCGGCATCCGCACCACCAATCGCCGCCGCTCTCGTCGGGCCAGGCTGCAGCTTCTTCTCCACCATGACGGAGATGAGCACACACCTTGGTCTCCGCCGCCCAACGCCGCCACCACGTCCGCATCACAAACTCTGGCCGACTCTCCAGTCAACACCGCACTCCGCCCGTATATCCAGTCAACGACGTTAACTGAAACAGACCCGAAAGTCTCGCCGCCGGAAAATTCGAAACTCTCTCCTCTTGCAATTTCAGTCTCCGTCATCGTCTGAAATCCGGTCGTCCTCAACTTACAGGCTCCGACGTCGTCTGAAATCCGGTCGTCCTCAACTTCCAGTCTCCGCTGTCGTCTGAAACACACTCGTCGAAAATTCAACGGTCGCCGGCGCCATAGATCTCAGCTTCCGCCTCCGTCCACGAGCTTCGATTTGTCACCGCCTCTTCCTCGCTGGATGAATCAAAATGCCACATATGCAGCGGAGTTTGAATAAGGAAGAGCGCGGACGAAGCTTAAAATGTGGGGCTCAATGTTGTAAATTAGATAAAATTAGAGGGTTTAATTGCAATTGGAGATAATTTTAATATATTTCAATTTAAACCTTGGGCCAAATATGTAATTTATAATAAATACATAAAAACATATTTTAACATATAACTTGTTTGCCACTTTTCAAAGTTGCTTGGAACTGGAAACTTCACCGAGGATATAGATCCGACAGTTATTAGGTACGGGCCTCATATACATATATATATATATATATATATATATATAGGGGATGGATCCAATGAGACCACTTCTTAAAATGAGTACGTGAGACTCAATCTTAGCCACTCATTTTGTCTAGATCAAAATCAATTAAAATATACATTAATTAAATAATAAAATAATTATTAATTGACTCCGGCATTGACCGTTGACTTCCGGCGTTGACTTCCGGTGTTGACCGTTGACTTCCGGCGTTGACCCGTTGTATTGAAATAAATAACCTAGCGACAAAAGATACTCAACCTTGAGTGGTGTAGTGGTTGCATTGCTTGTCTTGCTTCCATGAGGTACCAGGTTCAAATCCTATGGGCTACAATATTTTTATAAAAAAAGAATACAACTAACTTAGGAGCATCAGACAACTAACCTAGCAACAAAACACAACTAACTTAGCAGCATCAGACAACTAACCTAGCAGCAAGAAAGAAAAGAAAAAAGAAATAACCTAACCTAGCAGCAAGAAAGAAAAGAAAAAAGAAATAACCTAGCAACACAAGACAACTAACCTAACAGCAAGAAAGAACAAAACACAACAAAACACAACTAACTTAGCAGCATCAGACAACTAACAACAAAACACAACTAACTTAGCAGCATCAGACAACTAACCTAACAGCAAGAAAGAAAAGAAAAAAGAAATAACCTAGCAACACAAGACAACTAACCTAACAGCAAGAAAGAACAAAACACAACTAACTTGGCAGCATCAGATAACTCAGCAAGAAAGAACTAACCTAGCAACAAAAGACAACTAAACACAACTAACTTAGCAGCATCAGACAACTAACCTAACCTAGCAGCAAGAAAAAAAAGAAAAAAGAAATAACCTAGCAACACAAGACAACTAACCTAACAGCAAGAAAGAACAAAGAACAAAACACAACTAACTTGGCAGCATCAAACAACTCAGCAAGAAAGAACTAACCTAGCAACAAAAGACAACTAAACTAGCAGCAAAAAAGAACTAGCCTAGCAACACAAGACAACTAACCTAGCAGCAAAAGACAACTAACCTAGCAGCAAGAAAGAACTAACCTAGCAACAAAAGACAACTAACTT